TCTGTAAGGAAATTTCACTTCCTCATATTCATTTTTGTTTTCATCGAACTCCTCAGATTTTGAAATCGGAGTTGTACAGGATTTACACTGACTCATCCCAAACTTTTCAAGAATCATTCTTGTATACGATGACTGACTGACATTAATATTTCCCTTCTCATCTTGATTAATCTCTAATCCAAGGAAATATGTTGCAGGTTTAGATGTTATTTTAAACTCTGACTTTAATTCTTTTTCAAATATTTTTAGTTCTTCTTTATCGGTTCCTGCAACTAGTCCATCATCAACATACAGTGCAAGTATGAATTTCTTTCCTCCCTGTATTCTAATGAACAAACAAGTATCTGCATCGCTTTGTTTGAAATGTTTCTTTTTCTTGTTCCAACATCTTGGAGCTTGTTTAAGTCCATAGAGACTTCGCTTGAGTTTACAGACTCTTCCTGAATTATCTTTAAAACCTTCAGGTTGCTCCGTGTAAATATCTTCATCTAGTTTGCTGTATAGAAAAGCTGTTGACACATCAAACTGCCTGAGTGACATCTTTTCATTTTCAGCAACACTTAATAGTGTTCTTATAGTTGAACTTCTGACTACAGGACTATAGGTTTCTTCATAGTCAATTCCCTTTTTCTGAGAAAAACCTTTTACCACTAGCCTGGCTTTAAAACGTTCAACAGAACCATCTGGATTGTTTTTTTTACCTTGTAGACCCATTTGCATGGTATTGCCTTATGACCTTTTGGAAGACTTACCAAATCCCACGTTTGATTTTCCTTTAATGACTGCATTTCACTGTTCATGGCTTTAAACCATTCATCTTTTTCATCACTTTGAATGGCATCTTTGTAGCTCACTGGTTCAAGTACTTTACATAATGCAGACACAACGAAAGGATTATAACGAGATGGCTTTTTGATATTATTCCTGTCACGTAAAACCATACCTTTGGTCTTTTGATTACAACAGTCAGATTGATCTTCTTCATCAGATAAAACTGAACTACGGTTGTGAACATCTTCATCAGTTGAAATATTTTCTTTAATCAAAGTTTTTTTATTTTCATCTTTGATTTCAACATAAATCGAAACTGTATCATCTGAACAACTTTCTTCTTGCAAAATCACTGAATTTGGTTTGACAACCTTCTCATCAAAAATAACATCTCTTGATCGATGCATTTTAACACGTTTCTTATTCTGATGTCCCATTCGTTCATGGTATAACTGCAATGCATCTTGATCATTGACAAAGTTAACTTCGACTTCAGAATTTAACGGTCTAACAGTTTTTGCAACAAGTTTGAACAAACCTCCATTGTTGTTTCTTATTCCAACAACACTTATCACATTGTCAATAAGTAGATGACAACTTCTTGAGGTTGAAACAAAAGAGCTATTTCTGTTCTTATCTTGAGTTGCAAGTACTGAGAACAAATTTCTTTTTACTTTTGGCACATACAAGACATCTATAAGTTTAACAGTTTGCCATTTATTATTCACTTTCACTTGAAGATGAATAATTCCTTTTCCAAAAGCTTCTACAGTATCACCATTTGCAACATATAATTTACTCGGTTGAGAAAATTTTTCAAAACTTTGAAATATGTCTCTTCGGAAAGTTAGATGACACGTTGCACCATTGTCAAAAAACCATTCATCAGTGTACGCTGACTCATCAATTGCAAAAACACTTGATTCCGTAACAACTAGTGACTTATTGTCATCGCGTAGATTGTTATTTCTTGGTTTTGCTGGTCTACCATCAGAATGCCATTTTTCACAATTTCTTACAATGTGACCTGGCAATTTGCAATAATGACATATCAGTCGCTTTGGTTTGCTGACAAATTTATCTTGTTTTTAACCATTCATGTTTAGTGATGATGACCTTTTAGTTGTTGCTTTGACAAATAATACTTTATTACATTCTGTTTTGCCTTCCAAAGATCTCTCATAGCTACACAGTTGATCTGTGAGTGTTTCGACTGTTCTTTCAGTCTTATTCAACAATCTCCAACTAGCAGCAAATGAAAAATATTTTTCTGGCAAGGTTTCAATTATTTGACACATCAGCAACAAGTCACTGTTTTCATCTTTTCCTAACTTTACCTTTAAATCTTTCCAAAGATTCCTGAGTTTTGTGACATGAGTGACAACATTATCGCTTTCATCCATTTTATAACTAAAGAACTTTATGCACAAGTTGTATGCTTTATCTTCATTAACTTCATCATACAATCTGTGAAGTTCTAACCAAACATCTCTGGCATTACTGAATGAACGAACTTTTTCATACGTTTCATCGGTCATGTTGGTTGACAGAACAATCATAGCACTACAATCTGCTCTGTTGAATCTGTTCAAAGCAGTTTGATATTTTGCTATCTCATCTTTATTTGAGTCATCGTTCGATTCATCTGGAACTTTTAATTTGCCATTTACTACATCCATTGCATCAGGAATGCCGCGTAGTATTATACAAACTCTCGACTTCCAGTTCAACCAATTACTTTTGCCTTCTAGGTGTTTGATTTGCACTTTTGTCAGATCCATTTCTTCCTTGTCTTTCAATTTGACCTTTTAATTAGAAGCAAAATATCGAATTTCAGAGAATGAAGAAGCACGTGCTTTCTCTTCACTTCAATCTTCACAAAAAAATCTTCCGATATTTCTTTATTCTAAATTTTCTTCGTCAAATCAATTAATTAAGAAAAACGTTATCTGGGTCCCATAACCTGTTAAATTTCTTGTCACGTAGATCGTTTAATTAATTGATATAATATTGAAAGACATTAAAAGAAGAGAAATAAACTAAGCAACGTTCTCGACTTGTTTATTATCCACCGGATCAACAGAAAAGGAAAAAGTAAAGTTACATACAAAGCAAAGAACATTTGGTCCAAAGAAAAATAAATGTATATTATAAATCATAATGTTTTAATATAAAACATAAAACTTAACATGCACTTCTCTGTTTTTTTCTTTATTGAGAAAAACATATTTGAAAGTTTATCAGAACCAGAGTCAGAATGATTCATCTGAGTGAGTAGTTGGTTAGCAACTTTTGCGTCACTTCAATTAAACCTACAAGTTGTGGATGTAGTTCACTTTGTAAAAAAAAACTAATTAACTCTGAAACTCCAATTTTCATGAACACATCACTCTTCTATCCAATTCAAGTTGAAGAAAACGTAAATGGAACGTTTAATTACGTTGTTAGAAATGAAAAAAAAACTATCCACGATGACTAAAAAACACATAAAAACAAACTCATATATGTACACTCAACCAGATAAATACATAAGTACACTTCAAATGAATCGTTTGTTGTGAACAATTTCTTGCAAAAATCTTTTTTTCTAGATGTTTTAAGATGCAGGAAATTTTGATTGGTATAGCAGTTAATTATTTTTTCTTCTTAAAAATGGCAGGGATGTCTTGTTATATTTTACAATTGCTGTTGCTGATGATGTTACTTGCTAGTTGTCTCTTTTCTTACCGTCGTTGTTGATTAGATTTGTTTTAACATATTATTGATGTCTATGTTATTGAAATTATTTATGAAGTCCGTTTCGCTGTTTTCATCAAATATGTTTTGAGACCTTCGTATTTATTTTAACCTTTCATTATAAATATCAAGAAAGAAGTATACCGGGATACTGATATTAAAAAAAAGAACCTCTAAAAAAATATAAAAATGTAAATGTGTTTGTTAATGAAGAATGTGTGGTTACTACACCTGAGAAGAATAACATTGAAATGGCAACGTACAACGGTGTATGTACGTACAATGTACATTTACTGTACGTACACACTCACACACACACACCACACACACACTGTGTCGGTTCAACCAGCTAGTTCACTTATTTCACCACACAGACAGGATCAAATTTTGACGCACTCACTTAGCTTAACATTCAATTTCTTCTTTCCTTTTTTAAAATTTCACTAAGCATGGCATGCGTCCTGTGAACAAATCCGTGCCTCATGTTTCTATATACCGTTGTAACGTTAACCAAGCTAATTTAAACGGAGTAATGGGAGACAAAACGTGCGTGCTATCAAAATCAACAACGGAAAATCTGAAGGATTCTGGTTTACAATTTTGGATGTTGGGAATGTTGTTGATGCTGGCTTTATTTAGTGTTTTTTTTTGTTTTAATGTTGTATTGGAAACTTTTTTGTAGTAGTTAATCCTATTAAAGGTTTTTTTTTATCGTTTCGTTATTTTTTCTCATGACAAGGGTGGAAATTGGAAAGATTTTTTGGTGACGAATGCGTTTAATAATTGCTGAGATTAATTTGAGTTATCGCGTGCAATTGCTCATTGACGACCAACCTGTTAATTTGTTGCTTTTTCCCCATAGTCTGTGGAGGTGTTTGTGCGAAAAAAATTATTTAAAATTTTTTCTGAAACACTTTCGATATTATTCCTTGCGTGATGTTATTCGCAACTCATTGTTAATGTAGGTAGGTAGGTAGGTAGGTAGAGAGGTAGGTAGGTAGGTAGGTAGGTAGGTAGGTAGGTAGGTAGGTAGGTACATAGGTAGGTATACCTATTGAACTACCCGTAAACTGTTGATTAATTGAGACTGAGTGGTTTTTTTTACATCCTTTATATTTTTCGATAGTTATTTTGAAGTAATGATAATAATTTTTCAGAGTGGCAACAACTTCAACAGCAACGGCAGCAGCTACGAAATCAGCAGCAGCATCAACGTCAACAACAATGGCAACAGCGGTAGCAACAACAACAGCAACAACAGATGCGCCTCTGCTCGTTCCATAAACAACAACAACAGCAATAACAACTGCAGCCGTTTTCAACAACAAATGAAATCACACATCGCCGAACTTCCAGCTCTATCCTCCACATCCTCCTCAGCCACTCGGGTGATGTCTTCGTGTTCTGATGGCATGGCCGGCTGCGGGTTGATGACCAACAACAACAGTCCAAACAACAGCTCCTCGAATGGAGTGGGCTCGTGCAGGGAGCTCCGGTCAGTTCTGCCCGTCGTCAGGTCACCAAACAGGTCCATGGAGAGGACTCTTGGTTCGTTCTTCGTTTTATAGATCTATTTTTTGTATAATTACATGAAATTGAACCCAACATAAAAACTATGGGAGCATTTTTTATTGGATATTAATAACTTTTGGATATTGGATAAATTTAAACTAGCATATTTAATTGGGCACAGTAGCCCAAATTCTCAATGATTGAATCGTTACTTGCAAGCGCTGATCTTAGTCAAATAAATTCTATTTAAATTAGACATTAGTGGATTTAATGACGACAATGATACAGGTGTTGATGATAATAATGATGATGATGCTGCATACTTTATTAACTTGTTCGTGTTCATATCTAGCAGAAATTTTTTTCCTTTTTTCGCTTCAAAGTTTTCAACGCAGTGGTCAGTGGTCATTCACTCCCACTAAATAAATGATAATTTCAACACCGGTCGTTAAATTTTAGAAAAAAAAACTTCTTTCATCGTCCAATGAAAACAGGTCAGGTCTTTTTGACCTTCAATGAAGAAACGAAGAGGTCACTGCTGCCTAATGAGGTGACCTCGATGGATACCGTGAAGGCATTATTTGTTCGCTCATTCCCTCACTCACTCACCATGCGCTGGTTCGATGATCCCATGAAGAAGGTTTACATATTGGATCGCAGTACGAACGTCTTCTACGAACTAGAGGATTTGAGGTTTGTTGCGGTTAGGTGGTGGTTCGGTTGATTGGTTGTTGGCTGGCTAGCTGGTTGATGGGTTGACTAAATAAGGAAGTGAGCGAGTGAGCAATAATTGAAGAGTGCTTGGAGTTTGTTAATTGGTTAACTAATTGGTCTCGCAAAAAATGACATGTTTATTGTTGTAGCTTTTTTTACATAGACTTGTTAGAAATCTTTTATTGAATGTGAGTGGAGTGATAATTTAATGATTAGATTAATGACCAACTGATAATATTATTGATGACACGATTATTATTATCATAACGATGGTGGTTGTTATCTTAACGAGCATGGTATTGCTATTATTAGTTATAAAAATGATGACGATGATGATGTGAAGGCTGAATGAAGGTTGAGTGAGAAGTAAGTAATTCGACTGTTACAATGATGATAAATGATTGCATTGAAATGTTGATGATGATGAATTGTTAAGAATTATGATGGTGATGGTGATGAATTGTTATATTGCTGGTAATGAATTTTTATTCTGATGATGATGATTTATTGTTAGAATTGTTATAGATGATGACTGATTGATTGGTTACTTTACTTTAATTTTTGAATGTTAACAGTTTGAGATGTTTATTGTATTTATCCATTCTCATTTTTCAATCCTCTGATTCAAAAATTTTTTTTCAGATTTTCCGTTACAAGTTTATGTTAAATTATATTGATAGATTGGTAACATTTACTTTTCTCGATGTATTTATTTCCGTATCTACCTTCATTGGCTGATTAAGCATATTAATTGTTATAAATATAGAAATATGTATGCAGTGATAATATATATACAATATCATAAACTATATAACAATAATAAGAAATACGTAAATGGTGACCATATTTAAGCAGAAGCAGTTTATATTTATTATAACAACACTAAAAATAATAGTCAATATTAATAATAATAATAATACATTTAATTTACCGTTTGTTTTGTTAATATTATTAATAAATAATAATAATAATAATAATATTTCATGCTAGGTCATGCCTATTATGTTTACTTTAAATTCCCTTATGGCTCTGAATGCTTTAGAATTATTTATTTGTTATATTATGCCCATTCATCACTTCGTTTGATGTGTTAAAATTTTTTTATTTAAATTTAATTGGTGTGAGAATAAATTCATAACTTTATAAATTCATAATTATAGATAAGAAAATAATGTTAAAGCTTTTCATTGGAAAGCTTTAATTAATTAAAAATTGAATTTCAGTTTAAGAATTGATTAATTAGTTTATTGATTATTACAGTTTTTAATGTGTACTGTTGTGTATATGTGCGTGTGTGTTTGTGTATCTGTATGAATATCTGCCGGCTAGTATCTATTAACAATCAAGAAATTTGTGATGTGTGTGTATGCTTTTGCTTAGAGAAGATGAATGTGCATGGTGGTTTATCTTTGAACGTTACATTGGAGTGCTTTGGAGCGTAATAATTTAAATTTAGAAACTCAATGATCACAATCAATTTCCTTAATTTAACATAACAGAGGATGCTTCACTTTGTTCGTTCATTCATTCATTCATTCATTCATTCATTCATTCATTCGTTCGTTCGTTCGTTCGTTCATTCATTCATTCGTTCGTTCATTCATTCATTCATTTAATCATTCATTCATTCATTCATGAATGTGTGGATGAGTGTGTGAATGCAATTATGTGTTAAGGATTGTAGATTAGGTCCTGTGTAATTTAATAGGTTAAAATGTAATGTAATTTAATTCTACAAACGACCACACTTACAGAAACACAGACAGACACACACACACACACACACACACACACACACACAGACAGACACTCACACATATTTATATATTTTAATACCACTATAAATTTGTTTACTCCACCTTTTTTTATTGGTCAGGGAGGTGAGGGATAGGTGCCAACTGAAGATTTATGAACTGGACCTCAATCCTCTGAGTCCAAGATCAAAGTTCAATAGGTCAGCCGGGTCATCTGTTGCCTTACTTGCTGCTGCTACTACTTCTGATAAGCAGAATGTTTCGTGTAATGGAAGCGCCGGTGCCGATGTGGTTAGTAGTGGTGGTTGCGTTTTATGTGTCTGTGGTGTGGTGTGTATTTAAGCCTGCTGATGATTATTATCTAATGGTTACGATCGTTGTAACATTTGTATGGTGATTAGGTGATCATTATGATATCGATGTTGACGAAAAAGAGAAAAATTATAAAATATTGATGATAACCTCATAAATGGGGCTAATTAAGATGGCATTACTCCATGTTTTAAAGTTTCAAATAAGTCCATCTCGTCCCGTCGTTATCGCTCCAATATTTGAAATTTTACTTCTAGTTTTTATGTTTTCCAATATTTTTAACTGTCATGTTCAACGAATTCCATCTCTGTTTTCTCTTTTTCCTCTCTCTCTTTCTCTTTCTCTCTCTTTGTCCCTCTCTTTCTCTCTCATTATTTCTCTCTTCTTCTCTTCCTTTACTTTTCTTTCTCTTTCTTGCTCTTCTCATATATACGCTTGAGAGCTTACACTTTTGTATAATTCTTTTCTATCCCATTTAATTCCATGCAATTAATGATCACTCAAATGGAAATTCGTCATCACCATCGTCGTCACCATTGTCGTCGTCGTCTTGACTACAATCACCATTCATATATTTTTTTCATCATTATTATTATCACCATCGTTCTCACCATTCCTATAATAATCATTATCATAACTGACTGACGAGCAAGCGTAGGCTGATGATGAAATTTTCATCTTGTGTTTTATTCAAGAGTTTAACTCGTCGGTGAATACGTGTTCGTGTACACACAGTTGCACGTACAGGCAACCTACTCATGCAGTGTACGCACACGTGCACACATTAATCACGTACAAAAGCGTACGAACGTGTGTGCGCATACACAGACCTATCTGCACTCATATTCACATACACAAATATGCCAACGTTTTGTGATGTTTTAATATTTATTACTTGAGTATTATACATATTATGTATTTGCCATTTATTATTGGTGAGGTGTAGTTTGAAACATTGTGTAACAGATGGGAACCATTAATAATCCTTCTTTTCAAATGTTAAACGTCACCAAACCTACAAATCGTTTACAAACTTTCTCGCCATTCGTCATTTATGGCGTTCGCTTGTTTGTTTGCCTGTTTGTCAGGTTGTTTAGTCGTTCGTATGTTTGTTCACTCGTTTGTTTAGGTGTTCTTTGTTTGCCGTTACCGTAAGTTTTGTAAAACAACACGAATTTGACATAATCATGTGGTAAAACGTTTTAATATAAATAAAATAAATAAATGTCACAATATTAGCCTATGTACGTGTGTGTATGTATGTATATATATGTGTGTGTGTCGTGTGTGTGGTTGTGTGTGTGTGTGCGCGCGCGCGTGCAATATAAGTGTTTTTATTTGTGTTTTCAAATTATTTCCTTGAAGTGATTAATTATTTGTGTCTGTTTGTTTGTTTGACTTGGCGAGTTGAAGTGTTGGCCTTTATTAAATTTTTTCTTGTCTGCTTCATAATGCATAGTGAATTAATTCAATTTAAATAATTTCTTTAGAGGCATTTTGTGGCTGTGTTTGTATGGGGGTGGAAAGGTTTTCTGTCAATTATATTTTCAATTTGTTTATTTCTCTTTTCTATCTGTCATTATTTTTTATACTCTATTTTTAAATGCATTTACATGTTCGTTCTTTCGTTCGTTCGTTCGTTCACTTACTCATTAATTTGTTCATTTATTTATTCGTTCATTTGTTTGTTCGCTCGTTTGTTTATTCATTCGTTCATTAGTTCATTCAATCGTTCTTCACACGTTTGTTCATTCATTCATTCTTTTTCTAATCCATTCACTCGTTTGTTCATTCATCCATTCAAGCGATCAATCAATCATCCGATGTATTTTGATATGCTGATTGAATGTAATGTCCTAGATGATTCTTTAATGAATTCTCCCTATAGGATTACTCACATTGTTGTTGTTTGTTTGTTTATTGTTGCTGCTGCTATTGTTGTTGTTGTTATTGTTGTTTAGTGTAACAGATGTTGTTTGTGGTTGTTGTTTATGTTGTTTTTTGTGTGTTGTTGTTCGTGTTAATGTTGGTATCTTGTTGGTGATTACAACACAAATGGTTATCGAATGCTCATCTAATAAGATGGCTTGTTCTTCTGTGTGTGTGTGAATGTGTGTGTGTATATGTGTGTGTGTGTGGTGTGTGTGTGTGTGTGTGGTGTGTGTGTGTGATAAGATAAGATGATCATTGATATGATTTATGAGATGTTTGATAACGTAGTTGCTGTTGCTTTTGCCGATATTTTTGTTTTAATTGTTATTGAGGTTTTTTATTGTTGATGATTAGCAATTTTTGTTGATGTTTTTATCGTTGATGACGTCATTTTGTTACTGAGATATTGTTGACGTTATGTTATTTTGTCTAGGCTTCCTTCATGTTTCCACTGTACTTCATATTCATGGTTGCTATATTTTAAATTATTTCATCGATCTCTTAATACTTTCCAATGGTTTACCGTTGTTATAGTCAGCGTTAGTTGCGTGTAAGTCTAATTTTGCCAACTTTGCGTTTGCTGTAGTTGTGTGCTGATGAGGGTGTGGGTGACGTTCTGTTTTGGAAGTGTGATTCGATCACCTCACTCATCAATCTGTTATGTGTTGATTTGCGTGGCTGAAAATTAATGTGGCTTAGTTAAATGTGGTTTGGTTAAATGTATCTTCAAGTGTTTATTTCAAGTGTACGTTTATAAAATAATTTTTTATGTTATTTTTTGCTCTGCTATGCGTTTATTATATGTTTTGACTAAGTTGTTTTGTAGTTGTTATGTTATTTTATATTACAATTAATTAACCAATTAATTAATTAATTAATTTTTTTATTTATCTATCTACTTACGTTATTGAAATATTACTTAGTATTTTCATAGTTACTAAGAAAGTGACACTTTAAAAATAGTTTAGGTAGACAATGAAATAGTTCTTGAATGAGTTTTACTGTTGTATCTGGAGGACTCTCAAGTCTCAGCCTGTCAGTTTTATGCTGGATTAATTTTACGATCTCTTCTTAAAAGTGCACTCAAAATAAAATTTTTGAATTATTTTCAGCCTCATTTTTTGTGTTAAATCCTCATTATTCTACTTTGTTTTTTTTTTCATTTTTTTCATTTTTTTTCTCGTTCACTTCAATTTTCATTTTTGCCGACTAGTTTTACAGTTTTTTCGTCTCTCTCTCTCTTTTCCTCTCTCTCTCTCTCTCTCTCTCGCTATCTCGTTGTCGTACTTAGCAGGCCACGCTATCATCTTCATCATAATTTTCAGTTTTTACAGTTTTATGTGTTAATTATTAAACTTTTTCATCTTTGTTGCTGGTCGGTCATTTATTTGATGAAGCTTCCACGACGTTTCAACGCCCATTTTATTATCGCTACCATCTTCGTCGTCATCATCGACTGACATCAGTTTTAATTTTCTCAAGCATCAATTTATCATTAATATCATTACCGTTACAGAAGTCTGCTATTGTCATTTTCACGTCACAAATATCGTGATTGCTAATGTTATCATTAGAGATGCACCGAATAGTGAATTTGACTGAAGACCGAATAGTTGATCAATTATTCGAATTATTTGATCGAAGCCGAAGGCAGAATACCAAAGAACCCACTATTTAAAAACAATTGTTTTTTTTACAATGAAAAACAAGTTGTTGAAAAATACAGTTGGCAGTTGTTGTTTATTCAACAATGTTCTATCGAGATAACATGCAATCTCTTGTTCAAATTCAGATGTTTCAACAGCTACGATGGCCAAAACGAATTTTCAGCTATTAACAAACTAACAGTTATTATCCTTGAATTTAAACAACGGGATGTCTTAAACGCATTTTGCAATATTTGGCTATTCGTCCTTTTAAAATGTCAGAAGCCCGAGCCGAATATCAAATTTCGGTCGAATTTTCGAGCAGAATAACCTGTGCAATATGAGAAGCGTTTTAATCCTCGTTCAACAACGGACTGTTGCATCATCGTCATCTTGGCTCTCGTTGGCACCATCATCGTCATCTTCTACATCGTCATCATCATCAGTATCGTAATCATTATTTTAATATCAGCACCATCCTTATATGAATATTATCATCGTTATCTTAGTATTATTATCGTTGTCATCATCGTCGTCGTCATCACCATTTTCTGATCGTGCTCGCCATCAACATCGTCATTGTCTCTCTCCACCAGTATTCATCACCATCATTTCCATAACAATCAACATGACGATTGCATTTATAGCTCCATTGATGTTTTTATTGTATTATACTTGAAACGATAATTTCTCGCATGTTTCAAAGTGTATGTGTGTCTATTCGTGTGTCTATGAGATTTTCTATTGTTTGTGTCATGTGTTTGGTGTATTTGTATGCTCTGTATACAGTGTGTTTTGTGTCTGTTCATCTTGTACATTTCATGCATGTGTTAAGTTTGTATGTTCTTGCTCACATTTGTATAAATTAATATAATAAATTATTTATAATCCATTAATTTGATTTGACATAATCACACATGCATGCACATTATAAACACACAAGTGAATGAATTTAGAGAGAGAGAGAGAGAGAGAGAGAGAGAGAGGAGGGAAAGAGAAGAGAGAGAAAGGAAAAGATATAAATATAGAAGTTAAAATGTATATAAGATATTTGTATATTCTTACTCACGCCTCATCTGTACGTGTTTGATTGCAATTGTTTGTACGTAAATGTTTGCACGTGTTTGTGTTTGCGTATTTACGCGCGTGTGATGATAAAGTATAAAGCATGTGATGTACTGACTGAACGCTGGAGTGGTGCGCGTTTGCACGTTTCCGTTATCAGCTCGAAATGATAACGCGTAACTAACTCTAATTAAAGCGTCATCTTTTCGCTGATTAAAAAGAATGTTTTCTTGATTTATTGTTACGGGTCACACATTTTCATGCGATAATAAACAGACACATTGTCACATACACGCACATACACACAGACACAGACACATACATAATTCATTTCAAAAAATGGAAACAGATAGCAAGACAGATATGAAAGGTGAAAGATATATCTAACGACCAACTCAATATAAACTAACCTGCTTATACACAATGTACAGTACATAGATATGTTCACAATACATTTTCATTATTACGGATACTTTGTTTCACCGGATATGCGTCTGTTTGTGCTGATATGTTTAAAGTGTAGAAATTTCTGCTTTCATTTGCTTGTTATCAGTCAATTTGCTTCAAATTACTCTTTGATGGATGTAACGCAATAATATCAATCAAGTTTTGAAAGGTAGGCCTAATCCTAACACTACTACTGTTAGTGCTGTTGCTAGTACTAATACTATTTGTTTTCTACTATTACGTTGACTGTCACTGCGACTACAACCGCTACTGCTACTACTTCTACGACTGCCTGTACTGTACCGACAATTTTCACTAATACTAATGATATTAACAATACTCTAAATGAATGCCCTTACAAGTAGATGGTGCATGTTACATTTAATACTAGAGCTAGAGCAATGATAATAATGTTACTGCTACTTATTCCTGCCCTAGTACTTTCTATCTCAATTCTTGCGGTTAGCTTAATGGCGCTGATATTTACAATGTTAAATTTCATGGCCGAGTCGGGCTTCTTAAATATTTATGCTTCTCCTTCACCAATTTTTTCACAACGAATATCTTAAATTATTTTCTTGTTTTGGTCGAAAAAATAATTTATTTTTTTTTGTTTAAAAATTCCCGTTAGAAAGATGTGATTGATGGAGGTAGATACGGCAGTTTATTTGCTCACACTTTCGCATGCCTTCTCGTACCCCTGCTTCAGTCGGTTTGAAGGGACCATGATAATAACTCTCAGTTCAGTCGGACACGTAGCATACTTACCTTACTTCACATTTTCAAAAATTTCTCTCACGTTTGCCACACGTACACACACACACACACACACACACACAACATAAACACGCACGCACCACACACACACATGCGTACACAAACACGCCGTCTGGAACATTGTCTCGATATAAACAACAAAAAAATCAACAGCAAGTTAAATTTAATGAGACTGTTTTTTTAAACTAAGTTATCTAGACGGAGATGTTTTGACTACTGAAAATATTTAAACAGTTAAAAGGAGACTTGCATGTATTATGTGTTGTCAGTTTGCTCCGGTTTTGTGTGTAGTATGTGTGTGTGTGTTTGTGTGTGTATGTGTGAGTGCCCACACGTACGTTTGTATGTGGGTAGTATCGTATCGTTTTATTTTTACTTGATTTACCGTTTTCAAATGTTTGTAAATTTCTTATATGGAGATCGAGGAGGAAAAAGTTGAGAAAGAAAAACATTAGTTGCAAAATAGAGCAGAAGAAAGAGAAGAGCAGGAAGAGAGGAGAGAGAGAGAGAGTGGAGAGAGAGCGAGTGAAAAGGAGAAATAGTGAGAAAGATATGGCGAAACCAGGAGCAAGGAAAAACGTACTAAGCATGAGCAGGCAGCAGAACAACAACATTGAAACTAATTGTAAACGTTTTTGATAAGTTTATCAATAATTTATGGATGGAAGTTAACACATGGTCTTTGTGTGTATTTGTATATATACAATATCACTACACTGCCTGTGCTTGCTTGTGTGTGAGTTGCTGTTTGTTTTTGTTCTTTATGCATTGGTGTCTGTGTGTGTCTGTGTGTGTGTGTCTGTGTGTGTGTGTGTGTGTTTGTATAAATAACATTGAGCATGTGTGCTTGCGTTTGTTGGTGTATTTGTTGAGAAGATAGTTGATGTTTTGGTTAATGTGATTGTTGATGTTTTGCTGTGTGTTGATATGTGTTGATGTGTTGCTATGCGTTGATGTGTTTATTTGTTCCCAGCAGAAAAACTTCTTTCATTTAAGTGCTTCTTCCACGCAAGTTGTCATTTACTTTTCTAGATTTTAACACTACTACCTAACCTACCTCTATTGCTATTCGTGAGGATGGATGATGACGAGGAAGAAGATGATGAGGAAGAGGATGATAGTAGTGATGGAATTCATGATTATGATGATGATGATGATGGTGTGGAGGCACCATGCGTCATTTATTGATTGATGGAGATGGTGTTGTTGTTGTTGATGATGATGATGATAAGGAGATTTGTGATTCTGCTGAAAGAAATATTCCTGAAGTTTATATTTATAAGGCAAGGAGGAACATTTCCTTCATTCATTCATTTCGTTCTTCCATTCACTCATGCATTCAAATCTTAGTACGCTCAAACACTCGTTAAATGTAAATAATAATTATTATTATTATTATTAATGCAGTTTAACGGCGTTTCAGCGCTACTGGCTATCTTTACGCCCTTTTTTCTTTTGAAACAAAATTTTCTTAGGGTTCTTTTGAGTTTTTTTCAAATATTTCTATATTCTGTCGAGTATTTTTATCTCCTGAAGATATGTTATTAGATTATTGATGTTTTCTCTCTTGAAAATTTTTTCAATATCTGAGGGGATCTGATATCGTTTCCGAATATCATCATGGTTTTGCATTCCACCAAGTGTTGTTCATGAAGTTTTTCATCACAAAAGTTGCATGCTGGTGGATTTGTTTTGTTGATTATCTAAGAATGAGTGTATTTTGAATGGCCTATTTTAACCTATTAATAATTGTCCTCAGTTTACGGTTTAAACCCTTAGATTCATCTGGATTTTTTTTAAAAACACTTGGCATGGATAGTTTAAGATAATTGGTAATCTTATTCCATTCAAGTTGCCATTTTTCGTTGATAATTTTTTTGTCCAAGTTCTTAAATCACTGTATGGAATTGGTACATTTGATATTGGGATAGCATGGGCTGGGAATCCACATCAAATCTATTTTGTTACTATTATTAGTCAAGTTATTATGTATATTATTTTGTATTTGCTTTATCAGATTATGTTGAGGGCTATATATATTAAGTGCAGTGATTGCAGATAATGAATCTGAAAATATTAAAAATTTGTTATTATTGAATTTAGATACATAGCTTATCGCCATCTCAATAGCGATGATCTCTGCCGTAAAAATTGATGTATAGTTTGGAAGATGTTTCATGAGCTTGTGTATAATCTTTGATTGCTGGTAAACAACTATTGCTGCTGTCGTTGAGAACTCCTTTTTTGAGCCATCCGTATAAATTTTTGTGGAATTGGGATTTTTATGGATTTTTTCTCTAAATATAATTTTTACTAAATTTTCATCTTTTACTGTTCTATTTATACTGATATCAACATCCGGATACAGCAATAGCCAAGGCGGGTGTTCATAATCCATTTCTTTCAAAATATTAGTTTTGTTATGATCTTTGATATATTCCTTAAGTCTTGCTGGGAATTTTTGTATAGCTTTTGATTTTATTTGATGATTCTGGTTTATAAATTTGTAGTTCTGATTTTCTGGCTGAGATCTAACTTTTAAATAATAATTCAATGCTAACTTTTGATGTCTAAATGTTAAAGGCATCTCCCCAGACAAAACATGTAAACTGCTAGATGGCGATGTTCTGTAAGCTCCCAAGACTTTTCTTAATGACTCGTTCATTATTGTTTGAAGAATTTTCAGATATGATTTTCTTGTTGATCCTAGCATAGTCTGTTATTGACCTTATCATTGCTTGATAGATTGTCATTAAGTGTTTTTGGTCTGAACCCCAGGTATGATGAGATAGAACTTTTAGAAGGTTGAGTGCTTTTAAACATTTTATTTTGGTCTGTTGGATGTGCGGAATAAAATTAAGTTTGGAGTCTAAGATTATTCCCAACTATTTATATTGTTGAGTAAATTCAATGAAATTTTCTTGAAATTTTAATTTTGGGTATATTTTTTTCGTTTTTTTGAGTAATTCCATTAGTAATTCCATACCTCCAGGCTTTATCATAAGCTTTTTCTATGTCTAAAAAGATTGTTATCACCTGTTCATTGTTGTTTAAAGCTTGTCTGACATGGGTTTCTAGATATAGTATGTTATCTAACGTAGATCTTCCTTTAATCCCACCATTATTTTATTTGTTTTCAGATACCAATTTAATCTTTTATTAATTATTTTTTCAATTATTTTACAGGTGCAACAGGTTAAGGATATTGGTCTATAGTTTTCAGGTTGTAATTTGGTCTTATTTGGCTTATTTATCGGAATTATTGTTGCATGGAGCCATATAGTTGGAAGACTTGAGTTGTACTAAATATTATTGTAAATTTTCAATTGTACCATTAGTGCATTTTGTGGCAAGTTTTTAAGCATCTTGTAAGTAATTAAATCTGGACCTGGAGTGGAATCGTTGCTATTGTTAATTTCATACATCATTTCTTTCATTGATATAGGAGAGTTGTATGGCTCTAAATTTTTTGAATTGAAATCCAGATCTTTACTTTCTTCTGTTGATTTGATGTTTGCAAATTGGTTGTTTAAATTTTTTGAATTTTGCTGGAAGTGGTTGGCCAAAATATTAGATATATCTTGGTCAGTTATATATTCCTTATTGTTAACAATAATATGGCTGTTTTTGTTGGTATTATATTTGTTTTTAATTTTTCTGATCATCTCCCATACTTTTATTGCTGAAGTGTTGACATTGAGATTACTGACGAATGAACTCCAGGAAAATTTCCTTTCTTCTCTCACTATTCTACGTGCTTCTGCTTTGAATTTCTTATAGTTTATGAGATTGACTTGGGTAGGGTTATTTTTAAATATTTTGAATGTTTTTTGTTTTTGCTTGATTGCATTTTTGCACTTCTCATTAAACCAAGGATTTAATATTTTACCACTTTTATTTTTTATAACTGGTGTAATCTGGTTTATGATTGTTGTTATAATCTTTATCCATTTGTTCATTGATTCATCATCAATTGTGTTAAAATTTTTCATTCTTTCCTCTGTCATGTTTTTAAATGCAGCCCAATCTGTTTTATTGTAATTTATTCTTTTCAAATCATAATTTCTTATATTTTTGATGGATAAAATTATTAGATAATGGTCACTGCCATGTAAATCGTCTTCTGCATCCCATTCTATATCTTGAAAAATGGCTGGAGTGGTCATGGCTAGATCTATTGTTGATGAAGTATTTGTATGATCATGATACATTGTTGCTTTTGTTGGTTTGATTAGGCAGAGATCGCTTTCTATTATTGTTTTTTCTAGGTGTATTCCTTGAGCATTTGAAGTTGAGCATTCCCAGATTTTGTTGTGGGCATTGAAATCTCCCAATAATATGAATGGTTTAGGGATTTGTTTAATTAAATGTTTTAACTCTTGTGATTTGATCAATGAGTTTGGTTTTATATACCCATTGCATTTTGTTATGAATTTATTGTGGATTGTTATTCTTGTTGCTATAAAATGATTATTAGTTTTTATTTTAACTGGAGATTGTGTTATATCGTGATGGATGTAAATTGATGTTCCTGCCGATGGGTTTGTTTTTGTTGGTATGGCTGATTTATGGTAAGCCTTGAAGTTTTTCAAATTTATTTGCTTGTCATCAGTAACCTTAGTTTCCTGCAGGCATATGATTTGAGGATTATATTTGGAGATTAAGATCTGTAGTTCTGGAAAATTATTTTTCATTCCTCTTATATTCCATTGCAGGATTCTAATCTTATTGGGATTTTTATGCATTATATCATCTTGACGTTTAATTGATTTATGATCATCATTGTTGCTTAATATGTCTGATTTATTCCTTGTTTGTATGTCTATTGTTGGCATTTTTTTACTAGAAGCCATACTCATTGTTATCTTTTGTAACCCTTTTGATATTATTTACATCAATATCATCATTGTTACAAAATACTTCATTATCATCACTACTTTTCATATCCTCATCAGTAGAGAATGAATATGGATCTTTATTTTTGTTGTTATTATTACCATTATTATTATTACCTTTATTATTACCATTATTCTTATTATTATCAGCATTACTATTATTACCATTATTATTACCATTACCGTCATCATCATTTGTTGTTATTTGAGATTTTGTATGCAGATGATTTAGTCTTGATGGTTGATAGCATGGAAGAATTGCAGTTAAAATTTGACAGATGGAAAAGTGTTATTGAAAAGAAATGGTTAAAAGTTAATATTGGTAAGACGAAGGTAATGGTGAGTGGGGAAGGTGGGGAACGAGTGATAAGTAAAATAGACCCCTGTGGGGTATGTGATAGGAGAGTGAAGGCTAACTCGGTATTGTGTATAGGATGT